ATTAAAGCCGTATTCTTGGGCGCCTCCATCACCAACTTCTGGGGCGGGGATGGCAAGCAATTGTGGGACAGTTATTATGTGGGCAAAGGGGCGTCCAATTACGGCATTCCCGGCGACTCCACGTCTAACGTATTGTGGAGAATACAGAATAAGGAAATGGATGGACTCAACCCTAAAGTGTTTGTGTTTTCTTGTGGCGCCGGTATGCTATGACTTGTTTTCAAAAAGTTTTATCAACTTTTAGAAAGTTTTAGAAATAATTAACTTTTTTCGTGATAAAGGATACAATAGTCTCCATAATCCGGATCCTAAGGTGGACCCCAAGACACAGCCGAGTGGTCCGGAAGTGCTCCGAGGGTTAGAAGAGATTATCAAAGAGTTGCGGTCAAAGTTCACGGTCAGTAAGGTCATAGTGATCGGTCACACGCCATACCACGACGATGATAGACGCAAAGATGTGAGCGAAGTGTCCAAACAAATCAATGTCGAGCTCAAGAAGTTTGCCGACGAAAAGGATGTGTTTTTCCTGGATTTGACGCCACATCTGGTGGACAGTAAGGGTCAGCAACTGCCCGGTCTGTTCAAAGATGGTCTACACTTCACTCTCGAGGGCTATAAAGTGTGGCATCAGGTCATGAATCCGTTGTTTGAAAGGCTTATGAAATAAATTCAATGACAATGCAGTTATCGTTTACAATAACATCGATATTAAGTAAAAGTGTCATTAATAATGACTTATTAAAATATTTTTGTTTTATAAATTTCAGTAATAAATTGATGAAATAATTTATAAATAAAATTCTAATAAAAAATTTATTATTAACAGTACATTAATTGGTAAAATTTAATGTCATTTGTGTTGTAATTTTCCAATAATAATTTATTAATAACTCTATTCAATTATACCCTTAAGGATTAAAACATAAAGTAAGTTAACTAGGTTAGAATGAATAAGTTTATTAATTATATCGATGTATATTAGATATTTTATATTTTAGAAAATAATTCATAAATATATAATTAACTACAGTAGTAACATAACATCACTCTCGAGGGCTATAAAGTGTGGCATCAGGTCATGAATCCGTTGTTTGAAAGGCTTATGAAATAAATTCAATGACAATGCAGTTATCGTTTACAATAACATCGATATTAAGTAAAAGTGTCATTATTAATGACTTATTAAAATATTATTGTTTTATAAATTTCAGTAATAAATTGATGAAATAATTTATAAATGAAATTCTAATAAAAATTTATTATTAACAGTACATTAATTGGTAAAATTTAATGTCATTTGTGTTGTAATTTTCCAATAATAATTTATTAATAACTTTATTCAATTATACCCTTAAGGATTAATTCATTACGATTAAGGTGTAGATTTAATATACTGTACTAAAACATAAAGTAAGTTAACTAGGTTAGAATGAATAAGTTTATTAATTATATCGATGTATATTAGATATTTTATATTTTAGAAAATAATTCATAAATATATAATTAACTACAGTAGTAACATAACACTTTAATTGGCCTTGATAACTATAATAATTGCCAATAATTTATCAAAAGCGGATTAAAATACGCTTTTTGAATGCCCTTAAAAATTATCGCATAAATAAAATGTCAAATGTTTTTATATTTACTGTAATAGGTTTAACAGTTGTTTAATTTTCTCACTAATATATCACTAATAGAAACACTTTTAAGATAAAGGAAAATATAAAATACAAAAATCACTCGACATTTGAATGAATGTATTATTTGTATTAAACATTAAACTTAAATTAAATATTTAAAACATGTTTAAACTAATTGTCTTAACAGTGGTTGCCGTCAATATATGCACTGCTGATGTGCACCCCTGGGAGCCCCAACCCGGGGATGGGGGTTGGATTCAAAGGCATCAACAGTTAGAGAAGTACACGACTGACCATAAGAGTCAGATTAAGGCCTTCTTCATCGGCGCCTCCATTACAGACTACTATCAGTCGGACGGTAAACAGTTGTGGGAATCATATTATGTGCCCAAAGGGGCCGCCAATTATGGCATAGGAGGTGACACCACATCTAACGTATTGTGGAGAATACAGAATAAAGAGGTCGACGGACTCAACCCCAAAGTGATTGTCGTGTCGTGTGGCCCCGGTATGTCATACGTTAGCATTTTGAGAATATTCTATATTAAAACATAATTCACAGAATTTATGTAATTCTTGACACAGAATTTGTTTATTAATTATTTAATCTTATCTATTAATAGGATATAATACAATGAACAGAAACCCCTCCCCCTCTGCAAATGATGTCTTAAGAGGTTTGGAAGAGATTGTCAATGAATTGAGGGCTAAATTTCCGGCGAGTAAAGTGATAATCATAGGACACACGCCTTATATCATCCAAAGTATTAGCGAGAGATCCAAACAAATCAATGCAGAGCTCAAGAAGTTTGCCGACGATTCAACGAATTGAGGGCTAAATTCCCGGCGAGTAAAGTGATAATCATAGGACACACGCCTTATATCATCCAAAGTATTAGCGAGAGATCCAAACAAATCAATGCAGAGCTCAAGAAGTTTGCCGACGAGAAGAATGTATTCTTCATTGATTTGACACCACATCTGGTGGACAGTAAGGGTCAACAACTGCCACAACTCTTTAAGTCGGATCACTTGCACTTCACTCTCGAGGGATACAAAGTATGGCATCAAATCATGAGTCCATTGTTTGAAAAACTTATGCAATGATTGTACATGTATTTTACTTAATTATGTTATAATAAATTCCTTATAAAATTTTATTTTATTTGATATGTTGTGAATAAATATTGAATATTAAATTAATAAAATAATTGTTATTATTACAGAGTATTGTAGTTACATATTTAATATGAATCATATACAATATTTGATTCATATAATTTTAATTTTACATAATATCAGAAATGGATTAAAACAAAATTACATGTTTTTATTAAAGTGTTTAACATGTGTCACAATCTCACAAATATAGTGCTCATAGAAACACAGTTAAGACTATGATAAGGAAAATATATAAAATCACTCAACATTTCAATTAATGTATAAATTTACTGTAAATTAAATTTAAACATCTAAAACATGTTTAAACTAATTGTTTTAACAGTGATTGGCATCAATGTATGCACTGCCGATGTACACCCCTGGGAGCCCGAACCCGGGAGTGGGGGTTGGGTTCAAAGGCACCAACAGTTAGAGAAATACACGGTCGACCATAAGAGTCAGATTAAGGCCTTTTTCATCGGTGCCTCCGGTGTAGACAACTATCAGTCGGACGGCAAACAGTTGTGGGAATCATATTATGTACCGAAAGGGACCGCCAATTATGGCATAGGAGGCGACACCACATCTAATGTGTTGTGGAGAATACAGAATAAAGAGATGGACGGACTCAACCCCAAAGTGATTGTGGTGTCCTGTGGCCCCGGTATGTCATAGTTAATGTTTTGTACACAGAATTATATTATTCTTGATATAGAATTTTGTATTTTGTCTGTTAATAGGTTTTAATACAATGAACAGAAACCCCTCCCCCTCTGCAAATGATGTCTTAAGGGGTTTGGAAGAGATTATCAACGAATTGAGGGCTAAATTCCCGGCGAGTAAAGTGATAATCATAGGACACACGCCTTATATCATCCAAAGTATTAGCGAGAGATCCAAACAAATCAATGCAGAGCTCAAGAAGTTTGCCGACGANGTGATAATCATAGGACACACGCCTTATATCATCCAAAGTATTAGCGAGAGATCCAAACAAATCAATGCAGAGCTCAAGAAGACTGCGGACGAGAAGAATGTATTCTTCATTGATTTGACACCACATCTGGTGGACAGTAAGGGTCAACAACTGCCACAACTCTTTAAGTCGGATCACTTGCACTTCACTCTCGAGGGATACAAAGTATGGCATCAAATCATGAGTCCATTGTTTGAACAACTTTTGCAATGATTTTTTAATAAATAAAAAATAAAAACTTAATTAAAACCTTTTGATTTCCAATAAATTAAGATAAATTTGATAAAATTAGGAACAAGGAAGTGAAATATGATGGACATTGCTATATTAATATAAAATTATAATAATAAAAATAATAAAATTTATTAAGTTAAATTAGTACTGTAGTAATAAAAATTAAAAGTAAAACGATAGAAAAATACTTGTTATGTCACTATATTATTTATGAATATTACATAGAAACTTATATTTTGAAAAAAATTGTTTCCCATATGAGCCAATCTTAAATAATTTTAAGATTGTTGTACATAACTGATTATTGTACATTTATTTAGAGTCTATAATAATTATTGTTTTTAGCATTAAATTACAAAATGAATGAAATGGCAAAAGTAAAGCCATGGGAACCCCAACAACGGTTGGGTAGCCTAAAGACATGGCTTACGAAACATGAAACTTATCTCAAACAGACTTCAGACCATCGAAATGATATTAAAGCGGTATTTATCGGCGATTCATGGATTGAAAATTTCACCACCGATGGCAAGCTTATTTGGGACAGGTATTACCGGGATACCGGTGCTTATAATTACGGAATATTCGGTGACACCACTTCCAACATCTTATGGCGGATCCAAAATCACGAGTTGGATGGACTCAACCCTAAGATTATTGTCTTTCAATGCGGTATTTATTTTTAATTTTTGAATATATTTTTAAAAAATATATGACAAATTATTTTTTGTAATCTATATAATTAAATTATAATTTATAAACTCTTAATAAAAAAACTATTAACCAAAGGATATAACAATGTCTTTGATGTGAAACTGGAGGATACGGCTGAAGACATCGCCAAAGGCCTGGATATCATTATCAAAGAGATGCTAAATAAATGTCCCAAAAGTATGATAATATTACCAGGGTGGCCACCACTTAAATATCCGGATATGGATAAAAAGGGAAGGGATTTGAATAAACTATTGAAAGTTTTTGATAACCACATGAATACTTTCTATTTGGATATCCGATCTAACTATTTGGATGGGAATGGTATGCAAAAGAGCTCATTGTATAAGTCTGATTGTGTGCACTTGACTCGGGATGGCTATTGGGTCTGGCACTCAATAATGTGGCCAATGTATGAAAAATTGTTGCAATAAAATTTTTATTATAAAATTTATTAAACAAATACTTTCACATAATTATCTTAATTAATTTGTATTTTATTAACTATTGTATGAAGAATTTATTCAATAAAATATATTAAACTAATTAAATAATCTATAATAATATAAGTTAGTGTATAATAAATATGATTATTAAAATTTTAAACTTGTAAAATAGACCTATAAATTCTGACAATATTAAATCCGTTAAATTTAAATATTAAATATAAGTTATAAAACTATTATAATATATAGTAATATAATATAAGTAATATAAGTTATAATATATTAGTTATTATAAAAATTAGAGGCAGCTGTACCTAAACTAAATAAATTATAAACAAATGCAGAATTTCTTACTTTGTAAATGTATTTCATTTAAATATGTTTAAAACAATTTGTTAATATTAATAATTTATTTGTGACTTACAATTGAAATAACATAAAATGTCTATACTGATGTCTATGTCTATGTCAGTACAATATTACGTCCACTATTATTTAAAGTTTTCCAAAGATAAAAGACCTTGATTATTTTTGATAAAGTTACTCAATTGTTCTGTACTACAGTATACAGAGTATTGGAAAATAATGAAAATTAATTACTATTCACGTATTTATATTGAATAACAAATGTTAGTTTATCACATTTGTTTGATATTTATAACAAAATATAAAGTATTTATAATAACCAGCTTATAATCATAGTTAAATTTTACGGATTATATTTATATTAATACGTCTAAATAAATCCATTTAAAATCCAAATAATCATAAAACATGTTTAGATCTGTACTAACAGTAATATGTATTATTTGTATTGAATTATGTACCGGTGCTGTGCCCTGGGAACCAGTGCCCACGGCCAATGGGGCCTTACACATCCAGTTACTCCTTCAGACAAACCTAAACCGGGCTAATATTAGGGCCTTTCTTA